AATGATATATTTTCACCCTAGACTGCGGTTCATCTCTCTTTATTCAATAAATAAAACAATCTCAGGGTAAATTCTTTCAATTTTAAATGTCAAGTTCAACTTACAAATTCTTATATTTGTATGAACATATACTGTAATCGTCAAATATTTATGTTAATTTTGTTGTAAATATTAGGACATAAGTAAAAGTTATATTTTGTCACTATAAGTTAAAATGAATTCCAGCATACGTGTATTTTTTTCTCATCGCTTTATGTAACCTTTATTCAAAATAATCAAATTATCTATTGTATTTCTTGTAACTGATATATATATGTTATGTATATCATTGTTTGTTTGTAATTAATAAAAGAAAAAAGAAGTGTTTTTAAGAATGAGAATGGATTAATGCATATCAGCTATCACATATTTCTAGATTAGAAAACAATGCAAGAAATGGAACATTTATCAATGATGGTAATTTAAATATTTCTTTGGAATGTTTTAAGACTAAACTGAAATCGAATGTTTCACACATGAAGTTTTGTTTCAATCATATAATAAGAACATACATGAAGGACATATGCAGCACAGTTAAGGCTGCAATGAGGAGGCGGGGCCTAATTTTTACGGGAAATGCTTACTTTGACATCACACAAAAACACATGTTCTTCAAATTACCACAGAATGAAATGATACGCTATTTTAAACTGTCGGATAGCTCTAAACTACATCAATACTTACTACTGCATGTATTTTTGTTGTTGGTTAAATCCCACACAGCAATATATAAATAATTCACTGATCGCAATGCACTTGTCAATGTGACGTCATATCGTAAAATTTGACGCAGTTTGTAGGTAGTGAGAGGCGGATCAAGTTATATTTTATACAATGAAAAATTATTTTGTAATTAAATAAAATATTATCTGCAGATATATAAGAGGTCATTAACTTGGATGCGATGTCTATTTTATGATTTTATTCGTATACTTCTCGTACATTTCCTAGACAAGTAAAACTGCCGTACATTTGTATGCAGATTCATTGAAGGGTAATAGAAGTGTCGTAATAAATCGGTATATTGCAAGGGCATACCCTCAATGAATTACGACAATCTTTTACACATAAACTCAAGAGGTATGAAGATATTTGAAAAGTGCTGCGAACCTGATGAAATCTTGCAAATGAATTAATTATATCTACATTTAATGTACTTGACCAGCAAAATATTCAACATAGGGTCTAACAAATGTAATTTTAGCAAATATATAGTAGAATCTATATAGGTTCGCAGCACTTTTCACAAACTAGAAAGAGTGTTAAAAATAATTATAAATTAAACTTAGATTTTTAACTTGGTTATGCCCTTGCAATATTGGAATTGGCAGTATCTGTAATGGCTTTATTCTTGTTTAATATTATAAGGTAATTACATAATGAAACAATGCTACCAAAACAATGGACAATAATCAAGTATTATAGCAAGTGTCAATGAGTAACAGTCGATCATCAACCTGGCATTTGGCGTATACAGTTTGCAGAAACGAGGAGCAATATGGTGCTGACAACCCTGGAGGGCAAACAGAAGTTGCCAGCAATGGCTTGTCGCAAAATTCTGCCAAGTGGATTGCTGTACGCGAATTTCGATACAGCAATCCATCCGCCAACAAGTGGCGGACAATTTGGCAAACAAGACATCATGTCTAATGCAACACAATGATTAGCAAAACAATTCAACGCAATATAAAGGGTAACAACAATGTATAATTTGGCAAAACAATCCAATACAACAAACCAGTAAATCATCAAGCATAAACCGAGGTGGAAAATGGGGGGTCGTTGTTAGAAAAAATGAGAAATACAATGCACATGTGTCTACTATCAACAAGCTAATTCAGAGAATTTGTGTCCCCCGCTTAGGGGGAAAAAAGAAGAGCATGTGCAGTTCGGGGGGGGGGGGGGGTTCACACTGCCCCTCTGGATTTGTAGAATTATTAAATGTATACAAGTATATTGATGCAAATTAAAAAAAAATGCCAATGTGGCTATAAAGATTTGATTGCATATTCTTTAATATGTGTATAGAAGATTCCTTTTAATATATAGAATATTTATCACACTGTAATAATGATTTTATGAGTTTGTACACGCCAGAGTATCATTTAGTGAATAAAAAGAGAGAAAGAGAGAGAGAACCGTCCGGGAATCAAACTTTTTGACTGGAAGTGAGGAACTTGGACAATGCAGTTTTGATTGTAGTTGTGAAAATAGAATTCCCAAGATCTGATAGACGTACACAATCGAGGAATAATTTGGGCTGATCTATTTTAATATCAGGGTGACGTATGAGGGCCACGTTTAACTTTTGAACAACAAAGCAGCCAATAGAATTATTTATTCTTTTCTAGATTTCTCTGCAGCTTCACTGGAAATCATGTAACGCCAGTATTTGCGAGGGAGTATATTTGACCATACTACGAGGGTGTTTGGTAATTTTTTTATAAAGGGAGGCTAATAATGCCTTCATGGCTAGTTGTAGTTTTTTAAAGGGATGAAGGCCAATACTGTTACCACCACAGTGAACTATTAGTACTTGAGGCATATCATTATGCCGACTTATCAAACTGGAAATGTGTTGATCAAGTTGCTCCCACTTCAGTCCCCCAGATCCAGACTAGGTTACATCTATCTTTAAGTGCTCCAGAGACAAGTTTTGGACAATTGTTAAACGTATGCAGTAATCTTCAGCTCGTCTGATAATGAAAGATCCAACGATCCATACCTTGCACCAAGTTCCTGCAAACTTAGCTTACAGTTAGTAAGACTGACTATTTAATGGACTACAGTATTCGGGCGAATATAAGACTTGAAAGCGTTGGATTTCCATCTACCCACTGCTTTAATTTCTTGCTCTGGAGTACCTTGCGTATACAATGAAGTTGCAGCCCCTATTAGAAATGAATGGGATTTGAATGTTGATATATCAAGCTTGAGGAATGATAGAGCTTTCTTTAGTACTTGATTGAATTGATAGTATGTCATTGGCGAGCCATAAATATGGCATAAAAACTGAGATGTTTGAGTTTGTGATGGTCTATGGGTCATGTATGCTTGTAAGTTGTGAAATCGGACCTGATTTTGCTTTGTGCTCTTAATTTGCATTTTAGTGCCCTTGCCATGCTGATCTGTTTTGGTTTTCCATACCTTTATGAACAACAAATTATCAATCGAAACACTAAATATCAAGTAAAGTCCATAAAACTTTCACACAAAGGTTTAGAAGAGTTCAATCAATCGTAAGGATGACATCATTTTCGTTTCATATTCACTTAGCGTTTTTTTTCACAGTGAGTATAAAAGAATTGAAATGTTGACGAACAAGTAAATGTCTCCCCCGCATTTTCAAACGTCCTTTTCTATGACAACTGCCAAGGTGTTACTATCATGAATTTTTAAAATATTCTTTTATTAAGAAAATTCAACAAGTGTATATGTTTTCACCTGTAATTTTTAATCACTTCTATTAAAAATCAATAAAATATAAAGAAATTCCACGAACTTTTGGATCAACCCTCGTATATACCATGCCGTTAATGCCTATTTGGTTGTCACACGTGTGCATGTGTCTGGATGCCATGTTTACACTTGTATAAATATAAATCCGAAAATCCCAAAGTTTCCCAGCACAATGAAAAAAAAAATTACGTGTATTTCTCCAGTGCATGCATGTCAATTATCAACAATTATCAAGACAACCAAAATTGTTCTGTTTTCCCCTTATCTATTTGACATTTGGGTGCGTATGATTATGTTATTTGATATACGTCAACAACCTAAACATAGATATAATTATCTATTTTTAGGAAGATATTCATAAATGTCGGCAAATCCAAGTTCTTAATCTCGCTAACGCCCACCTGCAACAATTATAGTAGTAATCCATGATCTGCAGTTTTTCAATAATCTGATCTCAATAAAAACAGTCACATTCACACAATGAATTTGTTAAAGTGCGTAGTTTACACTTAGCGCTAGGATTAGGGCTTAGGCTTAGGGTTAGTCTTGGGGGCTAGGATGTACTTATTCATTAGAAAGTTTTGTTCTAGGAGAGCTAAAAATATACATTTGAATAAAATCACTTAAGAATAAAGATTTAAAATGTTAATATCACGAATATACACTTAAATAAAATAAATTACATCAGTTACAATTTTAAAAAATGCCTGTAGAAGGTATAGTAAGCTAACAGGGAACGGTTAACAGCATGTGAAAATCAAGAGGCCATGGTCCACACCACTCACCTGTGTGTCACACTAACCCCTCCCTGATAAATGAAGAAGTATGAATGCTAACCCCCTGATTCCCACCTACTTCTTACACATCATAATTCAAGATATTTGGCATATTTGCTATTTATTTATTTCAATGAAATGTAATCTTCATTAAAAAGTCTACATCTGCAGTTTTGGCGTTTAAAAGCAAACTCAATTTAAAATACTATACGAAGTTATATACATGCAATACCAGTGTTGATTTATAAACTGCTTTTAAATAAAACTCTTTTTAACAAAGGGTGTAAAATAATTGAAATAAGACTTTGAAACATAACCCGATTTTGAAGTACTCATGCATGTGGATAAACGACATCTTATTCTTTCAGTTTGATAAACTTTATGTTAAATTATCTTTTTTTGATTTATCTGGTGAAAGTTTATAGTTGTACATCATTTGAAATTAGTCATAAAAAGACAAATTTCGGTGTATTTTGGTCTGTAAACATACCGTCCTCTCTCCCTTCCAAAAAACCAAGAAAGTTCAAGTATGAATTTGCTAAATAAATAATAATTCATTACAGCCGTGAAAAGGAATTTTTGTTTCAAAAGGGGGGATTTCTTATGAGGTGAAATTCTTAAGTGTTACCAAAAATAAAGAGTTATCTCTCTTTCTTTTAATAAATAATTCAAATTTTATGAAAATTTATATAAATTTCTATTTAAATTCAAAATTTAATTGGAACATGATAACTTTTCATAATTTGAAGTAGGGGGTAAAACAATACAATTGTTCAAAGTCCTTTGCAATGATACCTCTTCTAGCAACACAAACAGAGTTGGAAGCCTTATTCATGGATATTAAAGACTGCACACATGCATTGATTTCACTTGTCATAATGTTATGCTTATGAAATATACTTGTTCCACCCATCAAACTTCATAATTCCTTGTAAAAATTGTCTTATCAAATTTTGAGCCTCCTGTCATGTTCCCATCAAAAGCCATGGAGTAGGATATGAAAACTTGAATTTACAGTACATTAGAAAGCTTTGAACATACTTGATTTAGCAAGTTTGGTTGAAATAGTCTCAAAGGCAGTTCTGAAAAAAATAAACTAGAACTGTTAAAAATGGACAAATACCCCCGCTGGGATTTTAAAGAAGGTACCAAGTCACTAATACTAGTATTTGATGGATCTGGAAGAGGTGTTCACAATTTATTTAAACATTTAGAGTGAAAATTTATCGGTAATGTCTTCTCATATTTTTTTTAATGAATGAAACTAAGGAGCAGCCTAATAAAACATCAATAGTAATAATAACATTGTTTCTATTACATTGAAAAAATAAATAACATTTTTTCAAGTATTTCTCTATTGGAAAGTATGGATGCATTATTTATCCATTTTTTCTACAGTGATTATAGGTCAAGATCACGACACACCCTCAGGTCATAAGCAGTCTTTGTGTGAAGTGGAAACTCCCAACATCCCAACATTATTCTCCATAAGAAGGATACTGACCCGACACGAATTATGAACTTTTTTTCTGTCAGTGACCTTGAATCTGCCCAAATGACGTTGGGTCAAGCTCATGACACATAGGCAATCTTTGTGTGAAGTATTAAAATCTAATGTACCTCTGTAAGAAAGATATGGACCGTACACGTTTGCACAGACAGACAGATGGACAAGGTGATTCCTATATACATTGAAAATAGTATAAAAATGGAAATAAGAAAACCTTATAGTGGGTTGTTTCCGACACACAAGAAAACTTTGATCAGAAGAGCTCATTTGAGCCTCTAGCTCAGGTGAATCAAAGTGTTGACAAATGAGTTATATCCTCTGGCATATAAACAGAATCCCTCTGCTGTCAGTTTCACATTTCCGTCACTGTCAATTTCATGCGTTTGTCCACTCCCTCCATATACTCTAATCCAGCTAGATGCTTGGATGGTATTTTCTCTATTTCTCTCAACCTTGAATCCACCATACATCCCTGGAACAGGGTAGAAGAAGCTACCCTTCTCAAACAAAAGTGCCACTTGAGGAAGAACCTGTTTATTGTCATTTATCAAATTGTCATCTCTCTCCATAATGGCTTTATGTAATACCTCTTCAAATTTCTTTATAGTGTTTTGTTTCTGTTTTATTTCTTGTGCGATTTTAATGAGATCCAGTACATCTTGAGGGAGCTGTGACTTAACACCGATATCATAAGCTGTCTCCCCGGCAGAATTCTTAAGGCATTTAGCAGATCCAATTTGAAGCAATTTTTTGAAAACATCTTTGGGAGCGGATCCAAGTGTAGCATGATGAAGTGTTGTATTACGTGTGGTCTGTACGTTTTCCTCCACAGGCCTAGTAGAATTAGCCAATTCTTCATCACAATCCACAAACTCTAGAAGTTTTTCGCATTCTTAATTCTTTCCTAGAATATCTATATTCTCCCGAAGGTTACCTATGTCTTCTCTCAGTACCCCCTTTTTCACTGTTATAGGATAAGACATTTCAGTATCTGTAAAGAAAATATGACGAAAATGTGACTTCATGAAAACTAGTAAGTCATTTTAAACAACTCAGAAATGAATTCATTCTGGTTAGGTTTTGCCCCCCCCCCCCCCCAAGAAAATTTGAGATGGCTCTAAGTTTTTTTTATTTTTAATGCATTACACCTGATCTGAAAATTTCTTTACTCTATATTGTTTTTACACTTAGGTGATTAAAAAGTGTTGCTTTGAGTAATTAATTTCATGAAACTTGCATAAATTGCCATTGAAATATTAATTACTATAAGTAATTGATCCATATTTAGTTCAAAATGATCTTATTATACAAGTGTTGTACAGAAATGTTTTAGCTGTGATACATCCATTTCTAACTTAATTAATGTTCAGTACGTAGTGGGTGTGTAAATTACCTCAGATATATGTATTTAATGTCTACTATGCGTTTATGACTAATATCAGACTAAAACTTTGTCCTTTAACATGTTTAGCAGCCTTAGCACTAAAATAGGGATTTCATAACAAAAAAAATTGTTCGTACTTAATGTAAATTTTAAACCTTCAGGAGAACACTTGTAAAAACATACACTGCTGTTTTTTCTAGAAAAAATGCTGAACTTCAGATTTCTGATCTCAAGCATATGGTGGAAAAAATACATTTTCTTTCAAGTCAAATTTTGATAAAAAGTCATCACCTTTTGATCATGCTTACTAAAAAAATGAATTTTGCAGAAGTTAACTAGATCATTATTGAATGTAATCATTATAATAACCTGTTGCAGGCTTTTTATAACAATTTTCAAGTTAAAAACATGAATCATATGAATGCTAAATAAATTAAAATATCTTATAGACAATTAATCTTACACAAATACTATACCTGCATGACTCTTTCGACACTCCACATATTTGTAACTACCAACTTAGTATGAATATTGTAATAATGCTGTAATGATCATCGTTAAATACGATTAGGATGTGGTCACAGAATTATCCTGCTATTGAATAAGTAAATTGTGGGAACTGTGTATTAGTAATAAAATAAAATTCTAAGCAGATGTTTCATTTTATTGATTGCATTGTAGCACTATAAAACTAGATCAGTGTTCCTAGGAAAGCATGTCTTGTCTAGAACAGCATCATTAAAGACATTAATAAATCCAAAGGGTGGCCATACCTATCAATGAAGCGAATCATTTTATCCAATGATCATAATTTTACATGGAAGACATTAACATTCAACACAATTTTACAGTGATGTCATAATTAATCAACTTGTTCAACCGATAGATCATTCAACTTTTTTTTTTAAAAAAGGCATTGATGATTTTTTGAATTTACGTTTGTGCGTAAACAATGTCATTAGTAAAAATGTTCTATATCATGATTTTTGATAAAAATATTAGATTTTTCCGGGGGTAGGAGCACAGGAGTTTGGAATTTAATCAATATCAATGATTGACCAAGCCATGAGCTATGCATTAGCTAGTTAGATAAAATTGCGAACTCCTGGGGTAGGAGTTTACTCAGAAGATGTAATCTTTTTCATAAATGCTCTGTAACCAGCTACATACACCAGTACAAGCCTGAAATTCGTGCCCCGCCCCTTTCCACTCTTTTTGCTGTGTGACATTTCACGTAAAAGATTTTATAAACCATATTACAATCTTTGAATGGGTTTTTACAAACAATAATATGAATAATTTGGCATTTAAAAAATTAGGACTTACATTATTAGCAACACAATGATAGGTCAACAGTTGACTCAATGTTTTCCATTTTGTTTTGGCAATATCAATACCGGAAATGCATGCCCCTGAATTTTTGTAAAAACCATTAATGTTAAATTTTGAAATTCCGGAAAATCCATATTTTATGTCACTTTATCTTGACAAAAGAACAGATACTCAATTCCATATTAATATCACTCACACAATCCGTATGGATACAGTGCATAAAAATTGTTTCCCATCATCTGGCTTCATTTTCATCCTCATAATTCATAATGTAAATTTTCTTCCATTTTTTTGCAATTTTTACATGGTATTTACTATTTTGGACGCTGATGAAGACAGAGGTTTTTTTTTAAAAAAAATCTTTTTTCATGCATGTCTTCACAATCTTGTACGCAGTCGACATCAGGAACAGACAATCAGGTTATTCCTAGCCTCGGGTAAAATATTCCGGGCTCGAGCTTCATTTATATACATGCAGCCTACCACTCTCTACCATCGGCTCATACATTCATTGAGAGAGGAACGAACGACAACTCTGCATAGGAGATTGGTAGCTCACATGTATATGTAGCAGAGCAAAATATTAAATAGAAAGGGAATACCGTGGTGTGTAACCTCTTTTGACTGGAATCACTCACAAGGTTGTGGGTTACATATAGTGGTAAATATTTATTGTGTATTTCATTTTAAAAATATAAACCGAGTTTATATTCGAAGAAAGCAGCAATGAAAAAAACTCGATAATACATGCAGTATTAGATGAAGAGTCTGGAATCGTAGGAATCCTTATTTCAAAGTATGCATTTTTTTTTATTCAAAATAATCTCAGAACATTGGCTAGTCAGGTTACGAATTGTGAGTAGATTTCCATTTTGTTTTGCAGTCGGAAACCAGATCCCTCATTCAGGAAGGAAATTCTCAGTTCAGAATCTTGAAGTTTGGTTTGCAGAATGTATACCTGATTCTGTGTGTTTAACATATATAACGGTATCATACTAGTATATAATTGTTCTGCATATGCATTTTATTCATTTTGATAAACCTTAGGTTCATTACTATAAATATGAATGTTAGGGGACGACCATTTGATTCTGAAAGGGGGGGGCAGATTTTGGAAATAAAAAATCTGTCCTTAGAAATGTTGAAAATAAATAATCTGTCCTTGATTGGAATGAATATAAATAATCTGACTCGAAAAATTTTGCCAGCCCCCCCCCCCCCTCCCCTCAGAATCAAATGGACGTCTTCTTATCAGACTCTGGATTTCGCATATTCCGTTACTTTAATAAATCCTTATACTAGAAAACGTACTAAAAGAAAGAAATTGAAAAGATAGCGATAGAAAACCTTTAGAACCAAACAAATGTCTGTAGTACTTTATATTCCGGGGAAGGAGGGAGGGTTGCTCTTTTCTAACTTTGCTATTGCGCACTTTACTATAGATAACAAAGTCAATTTACATATATACCCGCTGAAAGATAACGTCTGTTGATCCCTTTTTCCTGCTTTAAAAATTGTCAAGGCAATATGGAGGGAAAACAGATGAAAAATGAAGTTTTTTAATTCCTCAGTTACATCCCAAAAAAATGCAACTGGATTGCCTGTCTCGCAACAAGACGGAGATGGGAATTCCGATGATACTGTAGTGACATCAATATCGAGTTCATCCGCGATTCCCCTGACTCTAACTCCCGCTTTTTATATTTTGAAATGTTGTTAGAACCACTATTAAAAACTATTGAGCATACATTTCAAAACCAGGTTTTAACCACTATTGAAATAATATACACTATTGACATAATTCTTTCAGTAGTGGCTAAGAATGCATTTCATGGTTGCAACCACTATTAAATAATGTTCACTATGGAAATAATTAATATGCATTTCAAAACCAAAACAAGGTTGCAACCACTATATATTGAAATAACGCCCACTACAGAAATGGATATAAGGATTAATTCTTCATTAAATTTTCCAACTTAACCAATGAATTTATTGAGTTTAACATCTATTAAGTAATTGTATGTTTTCCTTTCTTTTGTAGAAAAAATATTAATACACGGATATCTTTTAAGCGAAGTGCCTAAAATTCGATCAAAGTATGTTCATCTCCTTAATATAATACATAATGATAATTGTCATGCAAAAAATATACTTATCAAAAACGTATACAAATAAAATTGTTACCTGTATTAATATAGCTTTTTAAACCTACAGGATTCATTTATGAACTTGTGAACAGCAGCAAAATGCCATTGTTTAACTCTAATGATAGATTTTCATTGCCCCGGAGTAGTAGGAGTAGTCTATGATGTCTACATCAAGTCGAAAAAGATAGTCAAAAAAAAGATTATTTTGAACATGGAGATATTTTTTCCAAACAAAGAAAAAATGGTAGGAATCTTCTTGTTTACCACAAGAGCAATAAGGATTGTCAATGATATTGCGTTTGTAACGTTGTGCACGGTGTTGGTACTATAAAATCTGACTCTTTAGATGTCGGAAAGAAAATGGCGTTTTCAAGATGTTAAAGTTACTAGAAATTAAAAATGAAAATAATTATTTTATACAAGGTAATAAATTATTCTAAAAAATTTCTTTTTAATAATTTAAAAATATTTTAGTTATGATACGGCTCTATTCATTATTGGTTATTACGGCGGAATTCCCGTGTCTAACGTTACATAAATTACTGTACGCGCAACTACAATATATAAAAAGATCCACTTCCAATCCTCTAAATTAAATGAAATTTAGGAAATACAATAATTTGTATGCATTCTTTATGATATTGTGGAATTTTTAACATCATTTTCTCAATTCATGAGTTTGGGCTGAATCTACAGTGCGTAAGTAAAATGTCCAACAGAAAAAAAATCGTTTCCTAAAGTTGACATTAGCCCACATGGTGATGTGTACTAGACATAAATGCCAAACAAAGATATATTTTGATGAGTAATCCTTAAGTACATATGTTTCTAAAATTAGTTATGTTGATACATGTCATATTTCTGCTAATACGTAAATAATAGTAAGGCTTTATTAAGTGTAGCCATTTTGTTATACACGTACGAGTCGCTTTACTATTACTTAGATGTCTCAGTTACATATCAAATATATATTAATTAATGTCATATATATACCAGAATCGCGAAGTAAGGAGTTGATCCTTACGTCGCGGGTTCGAATCCCACTGTGGGACGTGGAGGCCGGTCCTTCGGATGAGACCGTATAAACCGAGGTCCCGTGTCGCAGTAGGTGCTGGCA